TTGAGCCAAAAAACAAAAATTTGATAAAAATTCACAAACCTGCGGAAAAATGCAAGTTTCTTCACTTTGATTATTTTGACGAGAGCCTGATTCCACCACGCTGCCTCACATATAGACAATACAAGGCAAAAAACTGTTCAAATGAACAAAACAACAGTCAGTCAGTACATTCAAAGGCTGATCATAAATAATGTTTGAAGGTAAAAGGATACAAGACAAAAGATTGTTCAAAGCTCAAGCAAAAGTATGCTCAAATACAAAGGCTGATTACAATACTATGACGTACTGCAGAGGTAAAAGGAATACAAGGCAAAAGCAGTTTGTTCAAATTTAAAACAAAAATAAGCTCAAATATGTATATATATGTATGTATATATATATATATATATATATATATATATATATTAATATTATATATACCTCCACACAAGGAGTGTAAACTGTTAAGTCTATTCATTGAATCAATTGTAAAAATTTGAACCATTATAATATATGGTCGCTTTTAAGCACAAGGGGGCTATCCCGAAGAAAGTCATTTTGAAAAAATTGAAGTTAAAGTTTCTGCCCCTTGTTCAGTTTCTTTAAAAGACAAGGAGAGTTTTCTCTATAACCAAACAAATATACACACCAATGAAACCAAACTTCTCCTATAGGTAGGGCAACGCCCACTTTTGGTGTAGGTAAAGATTTTTGGAACCCCCTGAAATTTTTTGGACTCTGCAGATCAGAAATATAGAGGGAGCTCATTGACTGTTGAAGAAATTTCACAAGTTACACATTATGACCCAACTGGTTATACAGTGAAAATGGTAAGTTGTGAGGGATTCTCAAGAATATATATATATATATATATATATATATATATATATATATATATATATATAAAACATAATAACAATGTTGGGACACACAGCAGTGTACACGAGCAATGAAGAAATATCAAGGTCCATTTAAAAAACGTAGAGACCACAAACAAACACACCACGCATCAGCCTAAATAAGTTGTCAGGTAAATTGAGTATTGTGCTGTCAAAAATTCGTGGTGCAACTGATCCTCAAATATCTCTTTAACAACAGGTTGGTTTCTTTGATTTAATTAATTATTCCAAATATTGACCAGCACCTAAAATCCACACACAATGCCACACAAATGGAAACTAAAAGTCAGAAGAATGAAAGAGGGCAGGAGTCGCAATTGTGAGTGAATGTGTATGTCTAGACGTCTGCTGAGGATTATAGAGATGAAGAGAGAAGGGTGGTTGGTGGGTGTCTATGGTTGGATCATAATGTACTTTTGCAATAGCAACGTACCGGTACATTTCTTGCATTATTTGGCTATGAAGGCTGCTGCTTTAAAAACACATGAGAGAGAGAGGGAGAAGGAGAGAGAGAAGGAGTGAGGGAGAGAGGGAGGGAGGGAGGGAGGGAGAGAGAGAGAAGACTTTTTGCGACAAAGCCATAACAATACTTGTAACAACATTTATAGATTTACATATATATATAATATGTTAACTCGCCTTCACTTTCTTGTTCCTCTCTAAAGACCGCCTCCTGAATAATCTAACTAGTGTAGATTGATGGGGGCATAAAGAAACAGCTACATTATTTTTATTTTTTTTAATTTTAAAGTTAAAGGTCGAAGGGCTAGAACTCAAATGGCTGCTGGATCGGAAAAGTAAAGTAATTGTCTTAAAACCCGCAACTTTCTCACATTTTATCTCTCCCCTTCCCCCTGCTCTGGGTTTTTTTTCTGAACTCTTTTATTCATAATCCCACAAGTTCTAAAAAATTCTTTTACTTTTACTTATGCATGGCATCCATAACAGGAAATATGAAGAAAAGGAGTTTACAAAGTCTAATGAAATTTTCCATAATATAAGTACCCTGAGTGCAATACTTTTTCTCAAAATGATACTTGTATAAAGCAATGTACGTAACCCCAGTCAGATACACATGTACAAAGATTCTACTTCAGTATATCAGACACAGCACAAAGAACATTCACATTTTGAGGAACGGCTCAACTGGTCGCTTTTAAGCACAACAGGGTTATCCCAAAAAATGATGTTTTGAGAAAATCGAAGGTAAAGTTTTTGCCCCTGTTCTGTTTCTATAACTAAACAAATATACACACCAATGAAACCAAACTTCTTCTATAGGTAGGGCAATGCCCACTTTTGAGGAAGGTTCAGATTTCTGGAAACCCCCGAAATCTGGGTTAGCCCGCTTGTCCTTAAAAGCGACCAATTGTGTGCAAGTTGTTTTTCTTCTTCTTCTTTCTTGTTCTCGATGCGGCAGCTAGACAGTCAGTCCAATGTCGCGCACAAACTGTGCAGTCCGCTTCAAATCTGAGAGACTGCCATAGAGCTTTCTCTCAAGGGGAGTCACATTCTGCCATGTCTGTGTACGAAGGGTGGCGTAGCGTGGGCAGTGCTGAAGGATAAAGGTTGGCATCCTCTTGGTCGTGTCCACATTCCCAGATCGCGGACTCTCCCACTTTTTGTGTAAGTTGTAACATGTTTGACGAGAACATGATGTTGATGTACGGTATGTGAAGATTTCGATTATACATCCTGTGATGTGGAGATTGTTTCAGAGTGTTAAAGAAAGGGTCTGTAGAAATTATAATAAATTGTAAAATGCATAGAACTAACCTACTTTTGATTTAGAGTGAGTGATGCCCAATGTAAAAATACCATCAATCGTTTATAATAATTATCATCACATATTTTTTGTACAAATAACAATAAAATTACAACACGCACACACATATATATGGCTTTAGATTTTAGACAGTACTAAGTGGGTATCAAATGCCAAGAAGAAGATGTTTTTCTTTTGGTCTGAATCGTAATATGTAGGAAAGCATTAAAATATTCATCTAAAAGACAATTGCAACCAAAACTGTTGTCGAAATATTCTGCACAAATCTTTTTCTTGTGGACTTCTACAGGACAAAGAATAAGTTTATGTCTTTGGCTTAGTTACTTGCTGCTGACCAAAAATAGACCATCAAACTTTCAATAATATATTTCTATTTCCATTTTCAGTGAAATAAGGTGCAAAATTGGAAACTTATAATGACTGTATAACATTAGTTCACACTTCAAAACTTGAACCTTATAATGACTGATAGTTAGCATCAATAGTTCATACTTCAAAATTTGAAGAAAGTGTGAGGAAAATCTTCGACGGAGCTGCCTAAAAAATAGCTTATGGTTTCTCCAGACACATGTGATGTCATCTCTTAACCCCCCACGCCCCCACATCCACTTCAGAAAACTGTTTGTATGATATATGGTTGACCTTTCTACTTTCTGTATAGCTGCTATGACATTAATGATTTTGTTCACGGCTTTCTTCAATGACAAACATCTATCAGCAGTTCATGCTTTTCTTTTAAGAGCGAAAATAAAAACACTCTAAAGCCTCGAGATGAAAGGGAAAAAATCAGATCATAACTGCTATAACAGCTAGATGGCTTTTCCCTGACACTTTCACTGGTTTTGCTACTTCAACAAATACTATGAGAAAAGGTGGTAGATATGAACAACACATAGTCCCATATGAACTGCTAATCTATTATCACAGAGGGTACATCTAGCTTGGATCTGATTTCAAATTTAAAAAGTACAATGTAAAATTTAAAAAACTATTTCATTTATAGAATTACTAACATATTATATATCACACGATGTTTTTAAACTTATGATATAACAAAAACCACAGAATGCTTCACTGAGATCACAGAAAAATGTACAAACTGAGCAGTCACGTGATCACAACCTCAAACGTTTCACAACAACAAGTGGCTGCAAAACAAATATGTGTACACAAACTTGATTTTAAGAAAGCAAAGAAGGTGTAATATAAAGGGAAAAAACATGCTTCAGATTAGGTATCATTATCAAACTTATCTGAAGATATCCAAGTCATAGACAATAGAAATACAAGTTTGAAAAGTTACAAATCACATTTTAACTAAAAACAAAACAAAAAAAGCAAATAGAATTCGGGGGTATCAGTTTTGTAAAGCGCTAAACACACTTTCAAGGCACAATATCAACAATAAAAACAGTCCATGAATTCATGGCCCCTGTCTCTCACAGCCATTTAGCAGCCACCGAAGGAGAGTAGAAACGTGAATACATGAATACATTATCAGTAGCATATTGTACCGTGAGGAACCCCTCCAACAATAGTCTCACCACATTGTACAGAAGGCCACACTAGCTCTAGCATTCTTCCATGGCTTGTGAGGTGCGCTGACTAAATGAGTTACTTCTTGCAATCCACAAATGGTGATATTGGCCAAAAATCAACACTAGGGTCAAATTTGTATAATTTCTCTTGATGCCATATTCTTTAATAATACACCTTTTGTTATTTCATTTATATACTGTAAAAACTTCACCTATAACATAACGCATCTATTTCCATAGGTCTCAAATCCGAGAAGTAACTCATTTTGTCAGCACATGATAGAAATGAAAAACAAAAGTATTTTATGAGCCAAACAAATTTTTTACAAGTACAAACATTTTGTCATGAAGGATGCTCAAAGAGTACAAGTTAAGAAATATAAAGAAGATCTTTGGAGACACAAAACAGATGATCATTTGCTGAGACAGAAGCTCAAGGTTTTAAAAGTACATTAACAATTTGGTGTTTCAAAAATGATTATCATTCACTTTCGTAGTCGTTTCATTTGTAAATGTTCTCAGAAAAATGTTGAGGGTATAAAATAGAAACACTGGAAGGACAAGCTGGATTATCACTAGCTGTCACTGGGATGAAACAACTCCAAAATGTTGGCTTCTCGTGTTATGACACAACGCTATGACACATGGTCAGACACTGACGGATGAGCTATTGTTATGACACAAAGCTAAGACACAAACAGTTACAAATTACAAACAATTGTCAACTCCATAAATTGTTCTAAAATTTCATAAGACAACATGCTCACATTTCAACTGCAGGATAAAAAAGATCTCCTAAAATTTAAAAAATAAAATTATATATTTGTAGTCGAACAGTGCCAGCATATTTGAACAAAATCCAACATTTGTCCCGATATCGGATAGGTTCGCTGGTGTAAAGTTGGGTGACCATTGAAGTTTTTAGGTTCACGAGTGTAATGTTGCGATGTCGTTTGAAGTTTTTAGGTTGGCAAGCGTAATACACCCGTCAGTACACCCGTCTAACACGCAGAATAGAGCAGCAGTGTGGTAGTGTCACGCTCTTGGAGTCCAACAATCTTCCTACAACACGTATCTGATGGCACTTCGTCTACAACAACATAGATAATGATATGAGTCAAACTTTCACTTTATAAACATAACAACTGAAGTATTCAGCAGGCGTTTTCACTGTTGGTATTTTGGCTTGAGGCATTGCGGTTATCTGAAAATAGACAAAAGGAATAAAAAGCGTGAATACCGGGCCCGTACTCGTGTTAATTAGAAATAAAAAATTCAGAAATCCTTAGCGAAAAAAAGGCAGTTTTAAAAAAAACTTTAAAGAATAAGAAAAACAATTAGGGGAAGACATTTTAATCCAATATGAGCGCAATGGGTATGTATGTACTTTGGGGATCAAACAATCACTTATCAAAAGCTTTTTTTACAAGACATGGGGTCTACTTGGATTTAGCTTAACAAAAACCAAAGAAATAAATGAGTACGGTAAAAACACATACAGTTGTTTTAAATGATGCAAACAAAATCAGTTACTACAAGCAAACACACCAAGAAAAGGCACAACGAAAATGTTACGTATATATAAAGATATGTGAGGCGTGCTGACAAAATGAGTTACTATCCCATAATCCACAAATGGAAATATTGGCCACAAATCGACATTAGTGTCAAATTTGTAGATTTTCTATTGATGCCATATTCTTTAACTATAACCTGTCTTTTATTATCTCATACTTATAAATTGTAAAAACTTCACGTATAAGCTTGGAGTATCTATTTCCTTGAGGCTTGAACCCAAGAAGTAACTCATTTTGTCAGCACGCTTCATACAATATCACATCCAGCCTGACATGCAGCTCTAGGGTTTGGGAATTTGGAACTTTACGCCGAGATCTTGCCTCCAACTTTCACCTCTCACCGATTGCCTGCCTCATAGGTCAAGCTTGCATCATACAATATAAACTTGGCAGCAATTCTTTGACACATGTGAGACGACGAGGTAAAAATTAAAATCAGGCGCTCGTCAAAATAAGGAAATCGAACGAACAGACATTTTTCCGCCAGTTTGTCAATTTTTATTGAATTTTTGTTTTTCGGCTCAATACTTTTAAAGTCCATATAAAAACAGGCTTCCAGGTGAATTTTATAGGAAAACATTGATTAAAGGGTGCAAAATGTGTATATTTCCAAGTTTTCAAGGACTCTCAAGTTTCTGAAATTACCTAACTTTGGCGGACATTTTCTCGCTTATTTTACCTCTGAAACAAGACGACCTCACCTCCTTCAATGGCAAATATCTCAACTTCTATTCAAGATAGATGGGTACTTTTTTCATTAAAACCAAGGCAAATGAATAAGCTTTCAGATGACACTAATAGCTCCACACGCCCAAAAATTGACGACACATGAATGATGCCATAAAGCCAGTTGAAGCAAAAGGATTACACGTACCACGTACAGCTACGGTATACACAGAGAACATTACCAACTGAATTGAGTCAAGTCTAGCCATATTTCTTCCATGAAGAGCCAAATAAGCCATCATTTTGGCAAGATTTGACTGAATTCGACAAAATTTGATTGTGACCTTCAAAAGATTTTTTTCAAGATCATAAGTCAAATTGGTCGTTATTGTGCCATAATGGGAGCTTTTGCCCATTGAGCAAAATCTGGCTAGCCTCGAATCAGCTCAACTGATTTCAAATTTCAGTGTGCACTGGGTACAAAAAAACCACCTTCCTTTAAAAAAAGAGACTGTGCTACACGAAAGGGCCATACATACTTGTAATGTATAACGTGTAATTCATAGCAAAGCCAACACGAATCATTACGAATGTCCTGCAGTCTAAAACCCACGAACAACATACTGAAGAGTTGTACAACAGTGCTCAACTAAATAATTACAAAAGTTCATTAAACCCGTCTATCTTGATCTCTCTGTGTTATCGTATATTTCTCAATCATATACACAAGAGTATAACAGGGTGGACAGGAAGGACATTATGAGTTCACCTACTTCATCAAGGGTCGAGTGAGAGGAAGACGGATGAAAAAAAGGAATGACAGGTCCTGTTGAATATTATGAAGACTGCTCCATCTGACATTGCATTTTTTTGCTATCACACCGACCGACTGTTATTATAACTTAAGTTTCCATGACTTTTCCACAAGCTCATAAAAATGATGAATTTCGATTCACAAAAAAAGTGATTTGCACTTCTAAATAGTCCTGTTTACTTTTTAAAAAGAAACTTAAAGTGTATCAATTTTCAATAATAGTGGGTGAAACGTGGATTTTATTTATTGGCAATTTACTTTATAATTATGTCTGAGAAAAATGTATAATTTGATTTAACATAATAACAAGATAAAGCGACCTCAGTGCTTTCTTGTCCCATCTCCATTTTTAATAAGAGTGAAAACAGTTTATAACAAAGAGTGAGCTTTAGAAGAAGTCACAGTTTCACTGTTTAAGAAAATGGAGATAGGACAAGAAAGCACTGAGGTGTCAATAATATATTATTAATAATTATAACCCGGCCAAGTCTGAATGCAGCAATGCCCATCAGCAATCTAGTACACAGCTCAGGTACCTTAGAGGGGACAAACATGTTCAATTTGTACAAACAGCAAGGCGTAAATTTAAGCTATCATGAAATACCTCTCCCCCCCCCCCCCCCCCCCCTCTTTCCCCCCAAGAGAGTAAAGACAAAATAGTAAGGTTATTCTTTTAAATAAAATGTTGATATTGAAATAAAAATATAAACAATGGAAAGGAAGGGAAGCGTTAATTTTTCTGCATACAAAATCAAAGATGTATTTCAGTTAGTTTTAGTAAAGTTTACAGCGCTCGCAACTGCATAAGGTCATAATTTTAAAATACTAACAGCAAGCAAACTATTTCAATTCTTAATCATCCATTTTTTGGTCAAATTATGCATCAGTAGCAATAGTAGACTATCATATTTGGCAAGAGCACTGACATTAAAAAACCCCAACTTTTTCCAACTCGCAAACACACACGGGTGAATCGGTAACTGACCTAGGGTGACCGTATAAAACCTGTCCAGTGGGGATGGGCGGGGTCTGACCTTTAGCTGCTTGAATCTGCCAGGTGCTCATTTGGCCTGCGGAGCTTTGGTGACCAAGTATAAGATTGTTCGGGGGAAAGCAGACGGAGGAGAAAAAATGAATATAAGCAAAAGCATGCAAAGGAACAAAAATGAAAGAGGTCATTCTAATAAGCAGATAAAGAAGAAAAATCGGAGAAACAAAAGCAAGCGAAGGGAACAAAAATGGAAGATATATTTTTAAAAAGCAGAAAATGTTTTAAATACTGAAGCCAGTAAAACCTTGCGAAAACAAACTATTGCATGTTCAATTATACGATCAGTGTTGTCTCTTCTTTAGATTCAACAGATGCTTTTAATTTTCAATGTTTGACGAACACAAAAGGAAGAGGAAGGGGCTCGGAAACTCTGAAAGTCAATGACATTTTCAAAGGGACACGATGAACATAAAGGAGTTCACAAGAGTTCATTGTAGAAGCTTGGTGCAAGAGAGAGTTGGAGCACTTCAGAGACCAATTCTGAGATCCTCAAAATCTTTATTCTTTAAAATCACAGTGGACTAAAAGATCAGGAAAAATGTGTTGCTACACCTTACAAGAAACACTCAACCCCCCCCCCCCCCCCCCCCCCCTCATGAACTTTTTAAACTGTGCTCAGATTCCTTTCAGAAACAGAAGTACAATGACACAAGAAGATTTCATTACAATGACACAAGAAGATTTCATTACAATGACACAAGAAGATTTCATTCTAATCTTCCGTAAAATGTTGTATCCCTAACAAAAGGGTTTTGCTGCATCTCACATTATTGGTAAGATGGGAAGGGGGTGGAGGTGGGGGGGGGGGAGGGGGGTAGCGGAGGAGAGAGAATGAACCACCACAAACAGGAAATTGACAACACTTCAGACATTATAATTATAGGCCTATATATATAATAATATACGTATAAAAGTTCACATATTTTTTAAAGCTCCATGCATGATGTGTGCACAATGCAATACACCAATGAAAACCCCATCCATAGAAAAGAAAACAAAAAGAATTGCAAAGCAGCTGTTGCGTATGGTAATGAAGTCTGCGCAAGTTGAGACAGACGTGCAAAAAGCCAAAAAGCACGGCGTGAAGGAAGTGAGGACACATTACATGCGAGGGTGAACACGCTGGAACCTCGGGAAACTTCCGGTCGGATTGAGAAATGTTGGTGGTTTGACATGGGAGGCAGATCTGAAGGACTGAAAGTGAGCACATCATACATGTTTTAAAAATAAAAACTAGCTTAGTCAGGATTCTTTGTCTAATAGAAAACTGGAGATTCTAATGAAATGAGAGACCTACATCAGTAACATTTAGTATAACTTTTAGTTTCAGTAAGGATTTCACGGCGCTCGCAACTGCATAAGGTCATATGAGCGCAAAGGGGTGGATGTCAACAGAGAAGTCCAAACGGGGAATCAGACTTACTCTGCTCACTTCTCTAGCCTCAACAGCACAAAGTCTGCTTCGACTATCAAGGCATCCCGGAAATAGCAGTTCACAAGAGAGTGACAAACATACAAAAGAAGTAGAGGAAAAATGATGACTGTAGGGATGAGGAAAGAAAAAGCAGCAGTTCCCCCTATGTTGTTTCGGCACAGTATGAGCATGACATAGATAAATCAGCCCATTTACAATTCTACTGTGTATAACATGTTAATATCCCCCCTTTGGGAATGGCCTAAAGACGCTTCAGTCAGTAGCACCACCCTGGGGGGAGGGGGGGGGGTAATTCTTTCATCCTTAAAATCCCTCCCACAAAACAAACAGAAAAGTCGTTTTCATGTCATATGACCGCTCATGGTTATATGACTTTTCTGTGAGTCCATTAATTTTTTAAAGTCTCACTCAAACATTTCTTCAATAAAAAAGACATCAACACTAAAAAAACAGGTGGGAAAAGAGGGAGGGATAGATATGGAGAGGCAAACATATTTCAGTTAAAATTTAAAACCTATTAAATTTATTTATGAAATGGTTTTAGGGATTTCAGAAAACGGACAGAGTTTTGAGAACGTTTCTGTTTACCCATCATTTCTTTAGCAGTAATACAATACACATGTCATGAGCTTCAATTCAGTTAAAACTAAAATCACTGAAAAAAAAATTACATTTTTAATGAAAAAATATAGGTCTATCCTATAAGTTCAAATCTCGACAAAACTTTTAGTTTAGTTTAGTAAGAGTTTCCCAGCGCTTACAACTAAAACTCTTACTCAACTCAACTAGTTTTACAGCGCTCGCGACTAAAACTCTTACTAAAATAAACTAAAAGTTTTGTAGAGATTTGAACTTATAGAGGTTAGATTTTTTCAGTCCGGTGCGATGAAGAGTAACTAAAAAGACCACTAGCGGGACACACAGGTACGTCAGTGTGAAATAAGACGAACACAGGGGTCAACTAAAGAACAACTTAAGGTCACAGTGCTTCTACAAACCAATCAGGCAAAAAGAGATAATATTCCGTGTAGCATCACTAAAACTAAAAGATGATCACGAGAGGGGAAACAGAAAAAGTAGCCAGTACAGAAATGATTCACTTGTAAAAGCAAGAGGAGAGAGAGATAATGCTGTAGACTATTTCTATGGACAGTTGTGTCAAGCTATTGGACAATAATTAGGAATCGGTTTCATTGTCATCAAACAACATTCTTCTAAGTCTAAGGACATCAGTTTGACTCACCTCCTGACAAAGTGATTACTTTTGTGTAAGAAATATTAAATTGTTCTTGCCAAGCTAAAGAAAGAACCAGCGGACAAACTTTTGCCCATGAGGATAACAACGTTCTCTGTCCTTCTTTCAAAAAATTAAAGGGAAACATTGGTAGAATGGTACAATAGTTTGTTAATCAAACCAAAGATTATATAGATCTATGTTACCAGAAAGTTTCAAGCAACAGAGATCAAGCACTTCAAAACTGCCTAGCTTGTTATAGAAGCAAGTAATATCATAGCCTACATATATATCATAAATATCATAAATCAGACTGGCAAGTTATACAGTTTATACAGCACCTGCAATTAAAATCAGAGTCACGTCTCTCAGATATGCATTCATTAAACTGTGCTCAGATTCCTTTCAAAGATTTAATTACAATGACACAAGAAGATTTCATTACAATGACACAAGAAGATTTCATTCTAATCTTCCGTAAAATGTTGTATCCCTAACAAAAGGGTTTTGCTGCATCTCACATTATTGGTAAGATGGGAAGGGGGTGGAGGTGGGGGTGGGGGAGGGGGGTAGCGGAGGAGAGAGAATGAACCACCACAAACAGGAAATTGACAACACTTCAGACATTATAATTATAGGCCTATATATATAATAATATACGTATAAAAGTTCACATATTTTTTAAAGCTCCATGCATGATGTGTGCACAATGCAATACACCAATGAAAACCCCATCCATAGAAAAGAAAACAAAAAGAATTGCAAAGCAGCTGTTGCGTATGGTAATGAAGTCTGCGCAAGTTGAGACAGACGTGCAAAAAGCCAAAAAGCACGGCGTGAAGGAAGTGAGGACACATTACATGCGAGGGTGAACACGCTGGAACCTCGGGAAACTTCCGGTCGGATTGAGAAATGTTGGTGGTTTGACATGGGAGGCAGATCTGAAGGACTGAAAGTGAGCACATCATACATGTTTTAAAAATAAAAACTAGCTTAGTCAGGATTCTTTGTCTAATAGAAAACTGGAGATTCTAATGAAATGAGAGACCTACATCAGTAACATTTAGTATAACTTTTAGTTTCAGTAAGGATTTCACGGCGCTCGCAACTGCATAAGGTCATATGAGCGCAAAGGGGTGGATGTCAACAGAGAAGTCCAAACGGGGAATCAGACTTACTCTGCTCACTTCTCTAGCCTCAACAGCACAAAGTCTGCTTCGACTATCAAGGCATCCCGGAAATAGCAGTTCACAAGAGAGTGACAAACATACAAAAGAAGTAGAGGAAAAATGATGACTGTAGGGATGAGGAAAGAAAAAGCAGCAGTTCCCCCTATGTTGTTTCGGCACAGTATGAGCATGACATAGATAAATCAGCCCATTTACAATTCTACTGTGTATAACATGTTAATATCCCCCCTTTGGGAATGGCCTAAAGACGCTTCAGTCAGTAGCACCACCCTGGGGGGAGGGGGGGGGGTAATTCTTTCATCCTTAAAATCCCTCCCACAAAACAAACAGAAAAGTCGTTTTCATGTCATATGACCGCTCATGGTTATATGACTTTTCTGTGAGTCCATTAATTTTTTAAAGTCTCACTCAAACATTTCTTCAATAAAAAAGACATCAACACTAAAAAAACAGGTGGGAAAAGAGGGAGGGATAGATATGGAGAGGCAAACATATTTCAGTTAAAATTTAAAACCTATTAAATTTATTTATGAAATGGTTTTAGGGATTTCAGAAAACGGACAGAGTTTTGAGAACGTTTCTGTTTACCCATCATTTCTTTAGCAGTAATACAATACACATGTCATGAGCTTCAATTCAGTTAAAACTAAAATCACTGAAAAAAAAATTACATTTTTAATGAAAAAATATAGGTCTATCCTATAAGTTCAAATCTCGACAAAACTTTTAGTTTAGTTTAGTAAGAGTTTCCCAGCGCTTACAACTAAAACTCTTACTCAACTCAACTAGTTTTACAGCGCTCGCGACTAAAACTCTTACTAAAATAAACTAAAAGTTTTGTAGAGATTTGAACTTATAGAGGTTAGATTTTTTCAGTCCGGTGCGATGAAGAGTAACTAAAAAGACCACTAGCGGGACACACAGGTACGTCAGTGTGAAATAAGACGAACACAGGGGTCAACTAAAGAACAACTTAAGGTCACAGTGCTTCTACAAACCAATCAGGCAAAAAGAGATAATATTCCGTGTAGCATCACTAAAACTAAAAGATGATCACGAGAGGGGAAACAGAAAAAGTAGCCAGTACAGAAATGATTCACTTGTAAAAGCAAGAGGAGAGAGAGATAATGCTGTAGACTATTTCTATGGACAGTTGTGTCAAGCTATTGGACAATAATTAGGAATCGGTTTCATTGTCATCAAACAACATTCTTCTAAGTCTAAGGACATCAGTTTGACTCACCTCCTGACAAAGTGATTACTTTTGTGTAAGAAATATTAAATTGTTCTTGCCAAGCTAAAGAAAGAACCAGCGGACAAACTTTTGCCCATGAGGATAACAACGTTCTCTGTCCTTCTTTCAAAAAATTAAAGGGAAACATTGGTAGAATGGTACAATAGTTTGTTAATCAAACCAAAGATTATATAGATCTATGTTACCAGAAAGTTTCAAGCAACAGAGATCAAGCACTTCAAAACTGCCTAGCTTGTTATAGAAGCAAGTAATATCATAGCCTACATATATATCATAAATATCATAAATCAGACTGGCAAGTTATACAGTTTATACAGCACCTGCAATTAAAATCAGAGTCACGTCTCTCAGATATGCATTCATATAAACAAATATCACTCTACCCCTACCAAAAAAAACCAAACTTATTCCAAATACCCCCCCCCCCCCCCCCCCCCAAATAAAAAAATTAATAAAAATAAAACATTTAATAGATAAACAAATAAATAAATAAAAAATAAAAAATAATCTTTTTCAAAATTAAAAAAACCAAATAGATTAATTATTTAATAAATCAATAAAAAAAAAAAAAAATCTTTAAAAAAGAAATTACGAACAATCCCCCCTCCCCCTAAAGAAAACCCTAAACAAACTACGAGGGAGATTTGGGAACCAGTAAGTTCGTAAGACCGGCAGAAAATGAGTGAACCAGTGAGCGGCAGGCTGGCCGTGGCGTGTCGTGTCATGTTGTGTCGTGTGCGTGTGTCATTGTCGTGGTTACTCACTCAGATTTTTTCCCAGTGACTGGTTTAGACGACGGCTCCGCCCGCTTCACCTCCACATCGTCTGTGTCTTCCTCCGTGATTGTGTCCTTGGCCGAACTGTTCGAGTCAATAATGTGTCAGGAATGCACGAGACCTCGACAGTGCTTTCTTGTCGTATCTATCTCCATTTTTAATAACAGCTAAAACAGTTCATAGCAAAGAGTGAGCTTCAGAAGAAGTCACATTTTCGCTGTTTAACCCTATCCATATGTCGTGTCTGACTATCGCATCCATACGACGTGGGGAACTCTGTGCTACCACTTTCCAAAGAGGAAATTTACTCGTTCATTCGATCCGTACGCTTTGCATTGCAGTCTGTCAAAATGATTTTCTGAGAAACACTGAAAGTTTCAAAGAGATCTTCATACATTCATAGAAGTATTCTAAAATGTGAAGAATACAACCCCGGCGGTACAAAATGATCACAGGGCATACGGATAGGGTTTTAAAAATTGGAGATATATACAACAAGAGAGCACTGAGGTCGCGAATGGCTCACATGTAAATCCTATCATGACTTGTAGAAGGAGAAAAGAAACTACTACTCAATGCCCACAAGCAGTTCAGCTATTCTCAGCCCAGAAAAAAAAATTTTCAGAAGAGAAAACAAAAAAAGAACTGCTTCATTTTTCCCAAAAATTGTATCTCCATTATGTTTTTTTCTTTTTTGTTTTTCAATTTTCAAGATTTAGAATTTAAATTTCAACAAAATAAATCTGGCACAAATGTGACCGATACTACAGATTAAGAAACTGCGATAAAAGAACATTTAA